TCCCATATGGGTGCCAGTTTGAGTCCCAGCTGCTCCACTTCCAATCCAGCTCTCTGCTATGGCCTGGGAAAGCAGTAGACGATGACTCAAGTCCTTGGGCCCCTGCACCCACGTGGGAAACCAAGATTCAGAAGCTCCTGGCTCCTGCTTTCAGATCAACCCAGCTCTGGCCCTTGCAGCCATCTGGGGAGTGAACCAGCAAATGGAAGATCTGTCTCCCTCTGTCTCTGCCTCTGCCTCTCTGTAACTCTGCCTTTCAAATAAATAAATAAATAAATAAATCGAGAAAGCGAGAAAGAAAGAGAGAGAGAGAAAGAGGGAGGGAAGGAGAGAGGGAGGGAGGGAGGGAGGGAAGGAAGGAAGGAAGGAAAGAGGGAGGGAAGGAGGGAAGGAAGGAAGGAAAGAGGGAGGGAAGGAGGGAAGGAAGGAAGGAAAGAAGGAAGGAAGAAACAAACACCCTTAGGGTTTTTGTTTGTTATAAAGATAGGCTGGTGACAGTTTCTATTGTTTGAGGTTTTCTTTTTTATTTTGTCATTTATTTTGGTCTGAAAATGTTTTTATTTCACCTTCATTTTTTGAAGTTTTTTGTTATTGAGCATAAAATTGTTGGCTGGCACTATTTATTTATTTGAAAGGCAGTTACAGAGAGAGAGAGGAAGAGACATAGAGAGAGAGCTTCCATCCACTGGTTCACTCCCCAAATGGCCGTAAGGCCCGGATTGGGCCAGGGTGAAACCAGGAGCCAGGAGCTTCATCCAGGTCTCCTAAGCCAGTACAGGGGCCCAAGGACTTGGGCTATCTTCTGCTGCTTTCTCAAGACAATAGCAGGGAGCTGGATTGAAAGTGGAGCAGCCAGGACACAAACCAGCGCCCATATGGGATGCCGGAACTGCAGGCAGCAGTTTAACCAGCTGTGCTAGAACACCAGCCCCATTTCAGTGGTTTTACTGTCACATAACTAGCTTGTGATCTTTTTCTGAATTTATTCTGTCCTGGGTGTAGTGGAATTCTTGCATCTAGGCTTGATGTCTCTTACTGGTTCTGAACATCTTGACTAGAATCTCATCAAAGCTTAAGTTTTAATTTCTCTAATTCTCTCCATCTCTTTTAGGGAAATCTGACCATATGTGGTATACCTTTACACTGTGTGCCCTGTGTCTCCTACTCTCTTTGAAGTTTCTATCCCTTAACCTTTCTATGCTTCAGATGCTAACTTATCTAGCTTTTCTTCTTACTCACTGCTTCTGTGTTGAGCTCTAATCTGCTATAAAATTCATCTGGGAGCTCATTTACATTATGGCGTTTTTAAGTTGCAAAATTTCTATTTCTTTGTATAGCTTACAAATTTCTATAAAAATTCTCTTTTATCTTTTTGACCTATTAAAAATAGTTATTCAAAATCTGTATCTCATAATTGCTTTAGCTGGATCCTCTGTGGGACTGTCTATATTTTTGGTGTTAGTCATGTGTTCTTAACTCTTCCTGTGTGCATTTCTTCTGGACTGAGTAATACACACAGCATATGAAAGCTGCAGAGATAATTTAATCTTCGAGGTGATATTATTCTCCTCCAGAGTGAACTGACATTTTTACTGGCAGGACCTTTTGGGTCTCCTCCATCTGGTCTCGGGCTGAGATCATTCAAAGGTGCGCCTTGTTCTCCCTACTCCTCAGGGAAAGCCTGGAGTTTCCACAAGGCCACCTCACCCACAGCAAGCCCTGAACTGCTATTTTTTTCTTTCCTAGTTCAGTGAAGCCATCGATAACTTCTCAACCGCTTAACCACCCCTCTGAAACCAGCAGATGCTCCCAAAGGAAAGGATCTCCAGATGCCAGAAGCTGGTGTGTCTCATCCGAGGCTTCTGTCTCCCGAGTTCTTTCCCATCATGGCTCCCTAATTCTAGATTGCCTTGTTGGCCTTTGGATGCCTTCAGATAGTTTTCCTCCAGATTTCTAGTCCTCAACCCTAATATTAATCCTAATCACCTACTGTGCCTGTCTCGGTGTGTTCAGGCTGCCATCACTGCTATCACAAAGTGCATTTTCCGGGTCATTTATAAACGTCAGAAAACTGTTCTTCACAGTTCTGGAGGCTGGGCAGGCCAAGGCCCAAGTGACAGCAGATTCGGTATGTGGGGAGGACTCACCGGGGCTTCGGAGATGGACACCTCCTCCTCGTACCTTCACGTGCAGGAGGGGCAAGGCACCAAATGCCCCATCTTTTGTGAGGACGCTGGTGTTACGAACGCAGAGCCCTGGAGACATCAGCCCTCCTGAAGTCCCTACCTCTTAATATTGTCACACGGGGGATGAAGTCCCGACGTGTGGATCTGGGGGAAAGCCAACTTTTAGTTCACAGCAGTACCCCAGCCTAAGGAGAAAGCCTTCCTGGAGCGTTCCCACTGGATGCAGGAATTCCGAGGGCGCTCAGTCGTGATGAGGGCAGCACCATTCAAGTGATGCTGCTTCTGCAGATCAACTCTTCTGTTGTAACCGCTATACGAAGCCCTTCCAAACTCTGAGAGCCACAGAAACCGTGAATCCTGCCAGGCATTCAATGAAGTGAAATTTAAAATTAAATGACAGCCAAAAAATGATGGGAGAAACATTTTAAGATAATCATCAGGCCGAATTATATTAACTGAAGTGAAAAACAAGGGAAAACAAGGGAAGCAGAAAGGTACAAAATGGCCTGAACGGACTAGCATCAGTGTAGCCAGATACACAGCAGTCCGTAGCCTGGTGCAGGGCCCCATGCAACCTGTGGGTAGATGGAGACACTTGTGGGGGCCGGTAGCAGTAAGTAGGCCGCAGACAATGTACTGAGGTGCCCTGCAATGAGAGACACAGCCCTGCAGGACAGAGAATCCTCTTGTCCCAGGTGCCACTTTTATGATAAACTATAAGGATAATTTAAGTGTTGAGATATTATCTTTCTCACAAAAGGCATTTCTGTTTGCTTCTGACAGTAAATGCTGGGAGAAGAAAAGACTTGTATAAGACTATTGTATTACTTAGAGTGGGCTAAGTTGATGTGAGTAGATACCCAAAATTCTGACTTCAGAAGAAATTTCTCTCTTGTCCGTGCAGCAATCTAAGACAACGTGTGTCGTGACGTGGGACAGTTGTCCACAGTTTGGGCAACTATTTCCTGCCTGCTGACTTTGAGGTCTAGGCTGCTTCCACTTTGTGGCTCTTCTGTCCCTTAAGACCTTGTCGTTATATGCATGGGTGCAGGTGTGTGACCACAGCCAGATTGCACTGGCAGAAAGAGAAAGTGAGCGTGGAGGAGGCATACAGCTGTCATCCACCTTCTGACTGAGAGGCGGCACACCTCACTCCTGCTAGCTTCTGTTATTGAGGGCTTGGTCGCATGGTCGCTCGCACCAGATGGGAGCAGGGACATGTGATCTGGCTAATTGCTCGGGTAGAAGAAGATAACTGGCAATCCCTGTCACAAGTGTAGTGAAAAATGTGACTCAAAAAAAACAATGAAAAACGGAAGTTAGTTTGGGAAACTTCAAGTGCTAGGTCAAGTCTGTACTTTGCCCTAAGGAGAGCCGGGAACTGTTTCTGAGCAGGGAAGTGGAATGCTGGAGGAAATTATTCTGGCAGTAGTGGGGAAAACAGACTGTGAAGACTATTGAAGAAGCTATCGCATGAGTCCAGATGTAAAAATAATGTACTAAGCAAGAGTGGTGGTTGCAGGAAGGGGAGAGAGGAGTCGAAATGCAGCAATATTGTTAGGGAGACTTAGAATTTCAGTGGTAACAACTAGTATTTATTGAGCACTTTACATATATTCACTTACTTAGTCCTGAGAAAAACTTTATAATCCCATTCCACTGAGCTGGAAACTGAGACAGAAGCTAAGTCCTAAATAAGGTTAAAGTGCATGCATGTGGGGCACATGTTGTGGCACAGTGGGTTAAACCACCGCTTAGGATGCCTGCATCCCATATCAGAGAGCCCTGTTTAAGTCCTGGCTGCTCTGCTTCCAGTCCAGCTTCCTGCTAATGCACCTGGGAAGGCTGCAGATGATTGCTCAAGTGCCTGGGTCCCCATCACCTATTTGGGAGGCTCGGATGGAGTTCTGGGCTCCTGGCTTTGGCCTGGCTATTGCAGCCCTGGCTCTTGCAGGCATTTGGAGAGTGTACCAGCAGATGGGAAATCTCTCTGTCTCTACCTGTCCCTCTTTCTGTGTCTTTCTGCCTTTCAAATGAGTGACAAGGAAATGTAGGCAGCATTTGTAGATTGCACTAAAAAATGTGGCCACAGAGGTAGGAAAGAGATAAGATAGATGGAAAACATCACCAGCTAATAACAGCAGCTGACAGTAACTGAGCACTTCCTGTGTGCTGGCCCCTGGTCTAGTCCTGTACGTGACTTATCTCATTTAATCCACTTCATAGGTAAGAAGAGAGTTTACTGAGGGTCGCAAAGCTAGTAAATATCAGGGCTGGAAATGTTTTCTCAGGAGAACAACAAGCTGCACATTAAAAAGCGGCCTCAGCCTTCCTCTCTCTCTCCATCCTCTCTTGCTCAGCCTCATCTGTCTCTCCCTCCCTCCCTTCCTCCTCCTCATCCCTTAATGCATTTTAAGTTGTGGCCAGATGTTCTAGCACTAATCATCTCTTAGTAGTTTCATGTACTTAGTTACGTGTTCACTTCCAGAGGTCAGCGGTCATCTGCTGTCCTTCTCCCATTTTCCTCAGCGACCCTAGTTCCGTGTTAGTATGTGGTGCATACCTGAAGGATGCTTGTTTGATGACATGAATAATTGTGTTGACTTAACTGTTTCACAAATAGTTAACCAAACACATATTTAGATAAATTTATATTAGTTACACAGTGAATCCTTTTGTTTTATCCATCTTCTTAAATAGTATTTCCTAGATTTGTTGTCGTTCACTACTAATAATAAAGGGTTCCATTTCATTCTTTCTAAATTGCAACATTATAATCCTGAATTAAATGTATCTGCTATTTTTTTTAAACAGGTAGATGCTGGCTGGATTGGATTTTGGTCCATAGTTGGAGGCTGTGTTGTTGGAATAGCTATGGCAAGGTAGGATATTTTATATTAAACATGTGAGAGACAGAAGAGGAACAAAGCCCACAGAGGAATAGACCCCCCTAAAATCAAACATTAAAATAACAGTGAGAAGTAGAAAAGGCAAAGGTTGGAAAAAGGCCCTTTGTCCAGGCTTCGAGAAAGTTTCCATGCAGTAGATAGAATCTGTCGCCACAGGAAGCCTCCTCAGAGGAGTAGTCCTTCCTAAAATGTGTTTGCAATGTGTTTTCAGTGTAATCAAGCTGCATCTCCCTGGATTATCAAAGAACAACATCTACAGTGGAACCAAAGAAAGGGGATAAAAATAACAAAGGCAAACTGATAGTTATCGAGAATAGAAAAGAATTGAATCATTGACACAAGCATCTCTAGAACTTTCCCTGAAGAGAGTCTCCTGGTCAGCAGATATGTATTCCTGCGCTTCTGTGGTTACCTCGTTTTGATGAAAAATGTCCATAAAGACTTCCAGTCCCAGCAGCCTCCCTCTGTTCCTAACCCGTTGTGACAACACATTTTTAGAATGAATTAGAAAAGAAGAAAGGCCTCATTTATTTTAAAAAAAAGAGAAGAACAAAAATGTCACTCTTGTAAGTGACTGCCTGTAGAATTACTCTGAGTGTTTCCAAGGAGGTAATATTCATTCACGTCCCAAGTCATTTTACCCTGTTTAATCAGAAATAAAATTTAGGCAATCAGCTTTACCAGGAAGAGGAGAATCTAATTACATATTTGAGGAGATCAAATAAGATATGTAAATCACCTCAATATTTAAATACTTAAACATAATTGACATTGTCACAGGATATTATATCTAGACCAGATAGTGTGCATGGTGTTTCTGGGATAATAAAAGAATGAATTGACACTGTAACTTCTAAATCACTTCATTTGAGGTTTTTATAAGTTAGGAAAATAAAAGCTAAATCTAAAAAAGCAAGGTAAAGAGAATGCTGTTTGGAGGAAGTCAGTTCACTGGTACTCAACTACATTGACCTGTCACATTCTGACAAGAATCACACTTAATTTTTCTAATTAAACCTCCAAGCCAATTATAGTGAGTCATCATTGATCATATCCTATTTTGAGCACCAGATAGGTCAGAGAGAGCCATTGTGCATCAGAAATGGCATTGCACATGCTCCTTTCCCATTTTCTTTCTGCAACCCCTTAGTTTTAGCTAAATATAGATACCAGTAGAGGGGAAAATTACAATAAGGATATTTCTGCTTTTAATTTGTTGTAATGGAAGTTCTACAAAATGCTGCCCTTACTCTTGGATCTGAAATCGATTTTAGGTTATCTCCTAGGCCTAAAACCAATTTCAGAATTATTCTCATAACTCCTTTTTTTTTTTTTTTTTTTTTTTGACAGGCAGAGTGGACAGTGAGAGAGAGAGACAGAGAGAAAGGTCTTCCTTTTTGCCGTTGGTTCACCCTCCAATGGCCGCCACCGGTGCGCTGCAGCCGGCTCACCGCGCTGATCCAAAGGCAGGAGCCAGGTGCTTCTCCTGGTCTCCCATGGGGTGCAGGGCCCAAGCACCTGGGCCATCCTCCACTGCACTCCCGGGCCATAGCAGAGAGCTGGCCTGGAAGGGGGGCAACCAGGACAGAATCCGGCGCCCCGACCGGGACTAGAACCCGGTGTGCCGGTGCGGCTAGGTGGAGGATTAGCCTATTGAGCCGCGGCACCAGCCTAACTCCACTTTTAGAATTTTCTAGAACAGACTCTCCTGTCGACATGAATGCTGGGGGCGATTTTTTGGGGGGAATGTGTTGCTAGAGGTCACTATTCAGGTACTGCTTTGCTCCTAACAATATTGTTTCGTGGTGCCAGTTCATTTTAAAGGACCGGTCTCCAAACACAGGGGATCTCAGTGGTCTGTTCCCTCTCATGTGATCACAAGGATGGAACCTTCTTGCAGTTCAACTCTGGTCTGTATCAGAAAGCTGTTTTAGTCTCTCAGATCTTGTCATCTACCTAGCTGATGAATAACTTTATACATTATTCCAAAATGTAAATCAGAAAAGTATTTGCTAAGTATGGAACTCAAGCAGGTTTTTTGTTTGTTTTAATTTTCTTGAAGAATATTTGTATCAAGCCATGGAACTTTTTCAGAGTGCATAGATTTCTCTGCTTGAGAGCTTGCAAGTATGACAACAGTCACTGGGCACAAGTGCATCAGTTTTTTCCTACGAAAAGATAGCATCAGCTATCACAGGAAGTCATTTCAGTCTGGGAAATGCTACCAAACATGATAAACCATATCACGTTAAACAAACACAAAACAAAGGATAGGATTAGGACAATCACATAATTACAATAGAAATGAAAATCAGTTTTAAAAATTTCAAAATGAAGATAACATGGTGTTATATTTTGGATGGGATTAGCTTTTCTATAATAATAATTCTGAAGGGACAGAGTAAATTATATAAAATCACAAGACTCTCTGGCTAATCAACCATTAATTTACAGGTGGAGAAAAGCAACGGCAAATGGAAAAAACTGTTTTGGCACAACTAACAGATAGCATCTCTACCAGATGCCTTTTAGTTTCATGTTGGTTTAGGCAAAGGCAAGGGTTTTGAGAATTTAAAATGCTGTGCATGCTCTGTAGACTAGTATTCACTGTTCCAGATACTGTGTTCTTGTTCTCAGAAAGCTTACCATCTGGTGGGAAAGACAAAAGTAAAACAAATAAAATTGCCCATCGAGGAACAGTGCGATGAAGAAATAAAAGAGTGCGGAGACGGGTTAGGGAGGGCTGCTCCCGCGGGAGGGGGGGCCTCGCTGACCGGGAAGCCAGAGGAGCTGCGGAAGGAGCAGGAGAAATTGAATGAAGATGGGGAGTGCCCAGACTCCAAGCAGCCGGGATAAATTCCAAGGCCACACATTGCTGTGGAAGCCACCTTGGCGTGTATGAGTAGCAAAGGGACTGTCCAGCTGGGCCAGAATAGGAAAAAAGAGAGCAGACGCAGGGACCTGAGCGTACGTGGGGGCTTCGCAAAGTCTGTGGAAAACGGAAGTGAAACTAAGCTGATTTTGGTGCAAACAATTTTGAAATCTGCATACATCAGGTCTTCAGAGGGCTTATGGAAAATAGCTGTTATAAAAAACTGCATGGATTTCTGAGGCTTTTTTTTTTCATGAATTTTTTGAGTACTTCAAGTAGGAATTCAGAGCCCCTGGTGTAGGCAGTTGTGTGCATTTTCCAAGTCTGGTTTTTAGGAACGCCATCTTTGCAAGCTGATCTCAACAAATTAGCCTATTTTCTAAAGTGGGATAATATGTGCTTGTTATCAAATGTTCAGAAAGTATAGGAAAATAAAAGTGGCATTTAAAAACTCAGAATTCATCCTTGACTTACAAAGCCTGAATAGTGATGACATTTTGTGGGTTCTATAAGAGAAAAAAAATTATCACACCACAAGAAAATTTGCCAGATTAAGAAAAAAATACTCTTGGAAAGTTTGCATGGAAAATTCTTCAAGTTAAAGTTGCTCAATGAAAGTGTTATTAATTTAAATAACATTTGAAAAATCCACCTGGGGAGTATATAATATTGTTTCTTTGCAGGTTTGCTGACTTCATTCGGGGCATGCTAAAGCTGATCCTTCTCCTCCTGTTCTCTGGGGCCACACTGTCGTCCACGTGGTTCACTCTGACCTGTCTGAACAGCATCACACACCTGCCTTTAACCACAGGTAAACCCCAGCTTTTGAAAACTTGGAATGTTTTCCATTCAAAGAAGTGTACACACCCTGACAGTAGGGCTTCTTGTTTCTCATAACTAATAATTAAATTCACAAAGGATTGCCCTTGTCCCCTCATCAAACCATCATCCTATTGAAAAGGAGCCCGAGATTTAACTAAAAATATTTGGATTGAGATTTTTATATGAAAAAGAAGTGTATTTCTTTTAGATTTTTAAGCTTTTTATTCAGTAAGAGAAATATTTAGGAGAGTGAGGGCCCTCCCTAAAAGAGAGAGCGAAATCTAGATTCATACTGAGTACCAGGAGCCAGCCACCTGCAGGAGCATGTAGGCCAGGAAGCATGGAGCAGGTGGCCCGAAGGCCATGTGCCCTGGAGGCACAGGGGCAGCAAGTGCCTACAATGGCAAAAGGCCAAAAAAGGGTCTGGGCCCACCAGTCCCAGGCCTTTAATCCACTTCCAAAAGGGAGTGTTTAATTAGCCTGATTGGCAGGTGGGCACACAGGTATGGGCAGGTTGGGGCATGAGGTCACACAGGGGCGTGGTGAAGGTGTGGTCTTGCAGCTCCCAAGCCTGATCAGTTTTCTTCTGTATGCCTGCCTACAGCATTCCCCCCTCAGAGACTCCATTCCCTTAATCCTAAGGGATGCTGAAGGGCACAGAATCATCATATCTTCCATAGCTGCTTCAAGAAGTGTGTTCTTTAAGCCAAATTCTGCATCATGGAAAAAAGTGGTGCTTTTAGAAGGGCACTTCAAAAATGCTATACCTGAGCGAGTGCAAACAGGAACACCACACATTGATAAAATTTGATGGTCTTTTATTGCTGGTGGTGGAGAGCAGGCTCCTGCCCTAAAGAACTCTCAACTCCAGAGCTCAAAGCAACAGGGTTTATAAAGGCAAAAACTATAAGGAGGGGAGGAGGAATACATGGTTGCTAGGATTGAAGGAAATACTTGGTTATTAGGGTCAAGTTGACCTGAGCACTTTGGGAAACTAATACAGATTACAAGCTTGACAACAGACAAATTACAATCCTAACATTAATCCAGGTGCAGCCTATCTGTTTAAGCTTGAGCCGTCATGCTAGGGAGTTTCTGTACTCTGCCAAGTGGGATGAAGTGGACTGTTACTGTCTGAGTTTTAGATCCTAGTTTCAGGCTAGAATCCCACAGTGGGGGATGGATTCTCTAGTGCTCTGAAATGGAGACCCTACTGTCAAGATATTGCTTCAAAAAGTTGGTGGGAAGTATTTATTATCAAGAAACTATGCATGGATTTTGCACCAAAATAAGCATGTCTTTTAATTCTATTTCTCCATGAGGTTTTTTTTGTACTCTGGTATTATAATTCAAAGATTTTTATCTTGTTTATAATCACTACATCATTTTTAAACAAGGAAATTAAGAGAAAAAAGCAGTGATATTTAAAGTACACTTCAATGAAATTCCTGAACTAGCTCCTATAGTTTTATTTTATATTTAGTTTTGTTATGTCATCAAAACAAAACTGACAAATACATGTTGGAAGTATATTGTAGTTAACTTACTTAGCTCATCTAATTGTTCTGAAATATTTGTAGTTGCTGTTGTTTTTATTGTTGATATCTCAATCCAAGGTCTGTGTTAGCACTTTTGTTTTTTTTTTTTCTTTAAGATTTATTTATTTATTTGAGAGGCAGAGTTACAGAGAGAGGAAAGACAGAGAGAGAGATCTTCCATCTGCTGGTTCACTCCCCAAATGGCTGCAATGGCCAGAGCTGAGCCAATCTGAAGCCAGGAACTTCTTCCAGGTCTCCCTCGTGTGTGCAGGGCCCCAAGGACTTGGGCCATCTTCCATTGCTCTCCCAGGCCATTAGCAGGGAGCTGGATCAGAAGTGGAACAGCCAGGACTTGAACCGGTGGCCATATAGGATGTCGGCGCTGCAGGTGGAGGCATAACCTCCAAGGCATAACCATGGCCCCAGCCCCTGTGTTAGCTCTTATTGCTGCTGTAATATATTTTACAAGTGTAGTGGTTTCAAACAATACAAAGTTATTATGTTATATTTCTGTAAGTTAGAAGGAGACCCAATGTGGGTCTCAGTGGGCTGAAATAGAAGTATGTTTTCTTGCCTTTTCCAGCACCTGGAGGTCCTCACATTCATTCCTTGGCTTAAGGCCCTTATCCTGCAACCTCAAAACCAGCAACAGTGAGCCCTTCTTACATTGCAGTTGCACAATCTTCCATAGTTACAGCTGCCTTCCCCTTGTACCTGCATCTTTTACTTTTAAGGATCCTCATGATTACATTGGGCCCATCCACATAATCTATCAGAATATCTTGGTTGTAAGGTCAGCTGAGTAGCAACTTGAATTCCATCCCAGCCCTATTCCCCTTACCATATAAAGTAACAAGGAATCACAAACTGCAGAGATTATGACATGAATATCTTCAGGGGAGAGAGGGGTATTACTCTGTATGCAACAGGGTCTTTGTGAAATTACCATCACCAATTATTCTGTAAATCAAGAGAGCTCTGTTATTGCTTCTTCCTTTCTTCTAATGAAAGATAAAGGTGTGTATTTTAAATTTCATGTGCAAGCCAGCCATCTTTTGGATTACGTGTTGAAGTATAGAATTGTTTGTTACAGAGGTAGGTTATGGGATTATTGTATTATTTGCAGGATTATTATTATTTGTATTTGTATCATTTGTACGAGTAGGAGTAAGTAAGAGTATTAGAGTAACTCCACAGGGGCCCAGGAAGTGGGTACCTTTTGTATACACATAATTAAGGAAAACTGCACCCCAAATTTGACTCTCTGCACTCTGTAATAAGAGAAGCAACAATTTCCATGTCAAAACCATCAGCTGTTTCCAGGACAGCCATTTGTTTGGGACTTCTTTCACTTTTGCAGTGGTAAGTGGGCAATGAGATTAGGTTGCCCTGCCCCACCATTACCCAGCTGTAAGCCAGGTGCCTTGGAGTGCTACAGTGACTCATACACGGGAGACAGAGGGACACTCAGCATCGTCACACACGCTCTTCCAGCTCGTGTGTGTGTGTGTGTGTGTGTGTGTGTGTATATATATATATATATATATATATATGTTTCTGTCAGTACACAGGTATTGCTTTTTAAATAGCTACTAAATTGGTAGAACATAATTACATTTTTTAAATCGTTTGGACCTAACTATGTAATTAACAGAATTGTTACTTATTTTGGCCTTGAGCACCATGAGAAATTGGCTGAGACACTAAAGGTGCTAAGCACAACGAGGTCTCAGACACCTGTGCACAGTCCCTTGCTGCCAGCTGCTCTCTCTTCAGTGTGTACACAGCTTTCCTGCCCTGCTGTCCAGCCCCACCGTCACCCCCAGAGGGACATAGCGTGCACTCTTTGTATGCTAGCATCGCGGCACTGGGGTTTTGAGCAGGTTTGGTAAGTGTTGTAGGCCAGAAATTTTTTCTGGTTTGATTTCATAATTTAGCAGCTATACAGCATTTGGGTAGAACAGTCTTAGTTTACAGCTTCTTATTCATGGCATTGCACTCATGTTTTTGTGATGTTGTTTGTCAAGTAAGCATCTGTGAGATTTTGTAAGAACATGGTCATGGGTACATAACAAACAAATTTGTTTTCCTAGCGTTTCATGTAGAATCCTCATTATAAGATAGTATGGTCACTAAATTTTACATATTTTCTATTTAACATGATGAAATAAGTTTTAAGAGCATTAGGGCTGAATTGTTACTTCCTTTCTCTTCTGGATTTTTATAATGAGCATGCTTTTCTCCTATAGTCAGGGAAAATATATTCAAAAATGATACTTTTTTTTTTTTTTTTTTTTTTGACAGGCAGAGTGCAGTGAGAGAGAGAGACAGAGAGAAAGGTCTTCCTTTGCCGTTGGTTCACCCTCCAATGGCCGCCGCGGCCGGCGCGCTGCGGCCGGCGCACCGCGCTGATCCGGTGGCAGGAGCCAGGAGCCAGGTGCTTTTCCTGGTCTCCCATGGGGTGCAGGGCCCAAGCACCTGGGCCATCCTCCACTGCACTCCCTGGCCACAGCAGAGAGCTGGCCTGGAAGAGGGGCAACCGGGACAGAATCTGGCGCCCCGACCGGGACTAGAACCCGGTGTGCCGGCGCCGCTAGGCGGAGGATTAGCCTAGTGAGCCGCGGCGCCGGCCCCAAAAATGATACATATTTTTAAAAACTATTTTTGTTTTGAGAGACAGAGATAGACAGTACGTTTGTCCATTGGTACACTCCCCAAATACCTGTGATAGCCAGGCCTGTACAGGCCTCCCCCAGGAGCCAGGAGCTCAATCCAGTTCTCCCCCATGGGTGGCCAGGATGGTGAAGCACTTGAGACATCACCCATTGCCTCCCCGGATGCACATTGCTGGAGGCTGGAATCAGGAGCAGAGCTGGGCTGCAAACTCAGGCACTCGGATAGAGGATGCAGGCACCCCTGACACCAAATGCCCACTGTCTGGATATGTTTTTAAATCTTAAAAGGAAAAATTGATGTGACTGGCCCTGGTTAACACTACTTTCCCAACCTGTTGTTGAAAATACTTACACTGGACAAAAAGAATAGCTGAACTCTAAATTAAATCAAGGCCAGAATGGAAAGGTTAGGTTTATGTGGCCATCTGAGCAATGACAGATTGTGTAACTTCTCTTGTTTTCAGTGCAGTTAATTTTGAAAGTCACTTACATACTCCTAAAAGATACACTCTTAATGTAGAAGTACAGTGGGTTTGTTCGTCTTTTTTCTCTGAATTATAACATTTATTTCTTCCTTTCGTGATCCCACTCCTTCCTTACTTGAGCGTCTGTCTTCCGTCCCACCCCAGTCTCTGCTCACACAGGCCCCGGGAGTGCAGTGTGTGTCGTCTCCCAGTGTGACTGACAGACAGCAGTAGTCAGCACTGGTCACTCTGCATCATTCAGCACCGGCTGTGCAAAGGCAGAAGGGCCCCTTTCAATGGAACAATGGGAATTTGAATAAATCTGCCACAGCTATTCTTATTACCTTTGTCAAAATCTGACCTAATTCCTTGTAAGTGAAAGAGGTTTCATGAAAGGGAACTTGCTGCAAAATCCAATTATAGACAAAGTGAGACCTTTAGGCTGGTATTTAAAGTCAGCAGCGGCAAGGCCATCTTTCTCTTTTTCCAGTCATTTTCATCAAGAAGATATCTACTCTTTTTCTACTTTCTTAGCATACTTAATTTTTCCATTATGGCTTTTTATATGCCAGAAGACTCTACATGAAAAATGCTTCAAATAGATGCATTAATTGTAACTTAGTAATATAACATGGAATATAACATGGAATAATAAATTAAAAACTAGTTGATTTTGTTCAACCCATGAACCTGTTACTGCTGTCTCATTAAAGCCTTCAGTTACAATCTTTCTGTGGTCCGCTCATCTTGATGTTATTGTTAACTGTCTCTACAGAGGAAAAAACTGAGTCGGTTCCTTCTGTCCAGAGGCATGCTGTTGAGGTCCGTGTGCTTGCTCGTATCCATCCACTTGGGAGCCATCAGCATTGCGCCTTGTCGTCCTTAGGGACAGAGTAGTTAAAGTTGCATTACGTCTTCATTGATTGAAGTCTTTACAGTGGGGCGCATAAATAACCTCTTGACTAGATAACACGAGTTTCAGCATCTTGAAGTTTACATATAAACAGAACTGTGGAAACACGCTGCTCACCTTATCTGAGAACTGATGTCTAGGCCTGTTCATCACAGCCCACCCAGTCATTTTTCACTGAGCACATGAATGCCTGGAGGATGGCATTTTGAAGAATGTTAGCACTTTGGTGTTGAGTTTGCTGAAACAATATAACTCGACTGTTTGACAGAAGTTGTCTTGGGAGAGATAATTTATCTAATGTCGTCTAAAGTTTCTAGAATGCCGTGATGATGACATCAGAGAGGAATGCTGGGTGGGAAGGAGGGAAGCCCCTTGGGAGTGCTGGCTGCCCACAAGGTGACTTCAGAGGGTACCCAGGGAAGGAGGCACGCTCAGTCGTGTTGACAGGCATGTGACAGGTGTAGGCAGGAGAGCAGTGCTCTTGTAGTAGTTCACATATGTTATCTTTACTAGGATAATTGTGTCCCACTTTTATAGCATATAGAGCAATAAAAACATGCGCTTGCCCAAAAATAGAAAACTCAAAAAGTGGGAAATATAATCACAGCAGTGCACATCACTGAGGAAATTAGGGATTTTAAGCCTTCAGTAAAGGAGGCTGGGGAGTGCCGTAACTGCTTGTGTCAGCTCGTGTTCATGATTGGCTGCTCTAGGAGGGAAAAATACGGATTAGCAGAAGAGAAGGGACTCGTGAAAAATCACAGTGCGGGACTCACAGGTGCTCAAAGCGCCTGTTGGGGAAGATCACGGAGTGCTTGTCCAGGGGAGCTCCAGGGGGAGCGGTAAGTCTGCGGGCAGAAGCTATGTCCTGCAGGCCGAGCCTGACCAGGTGCTCAGTCCTCCTCCAGTGATTTAATGGTATGTTGCCTTCTTCAGAACCGAGAATGATTCTTTGGCAGCTTGAAAGTTTCTGATAAACCTTTGCCCGAGATATCTGATTTCATAACCAGTATCTACCTCTGGACCCGCTTTCAAAGGATTAATGGTTGTGCTTCATATCTGCCAGATAATGACTTTGCCTTCCAGCCATAAGGAACATAACCATCAACTTTATAGTACTAAAGTATGCCAACAGGCGTGAGTGCTGTGGCGTAATGGGTTAGACCTGTGACATCTCTTATCAGAATGCTGCCTCCAATCCCAGTTCCTCTGCTTCCCATCCGGCTTCCTGCTAAGGCACCGGGGAGGTGGGAAATGATGGCCCACGTACTTGGATCCCTGCTATCCACGTAGGAGATCCAGATCTTAGAGTTCTTAGCTCGTGGCTTTTGCCTGTCCCAGCTCCAGTTGTTGCAGGCACTAGTGGGAAGGGTCTTCAGATGGAAGATATCTCTCTGTGTGTCTCTCCTTCTCCCTCAAATTAATTAATTAAAATAAAATACAATTTGCCAACAAAGAGGCTGGACATGGGGACACTTGCAGATAATAACATACAGAAAGAAAATTGTGGCCACTCAGGATTATTGTAGCAAAATGCCTCTTATTCTTTGGAATCACAGCTTCATGTGCGCATATTTTAATTAATGACAGCTAGAGCAATCACTTTTTAGGAAGAAAATGTAGAGTGCAGCTCAGTGATAATGGAAATATTTATCTGTGTCTGTATATACGCATGTGTACTTTATATATTCAACATGCTCGAAATCTATGGAAAAGGGTATAATTAAACATTGATTTTTTTTCTCTTTTTCTCTTTACACATGTGCCTCTTTTCCCAAAAGGAATATTTTCACTTACAATATCAAGTTTAATTTACATTGTGAATTTTTTTAAGATTTATTTATTTGAAAGGCAGAATTAGAGGAGAGAGAGATCTTCCATCTGCTGGTTCTTATATTCTTCTTTTATTATTTTTTATTTTTTACTTTTTAATTTTTGAAAGGCAGAGAGAACCATCCACTGGTTCATTCCCCAAGTGCCTGCAACAGCCGAGGCTCAGCCAGGCTGAAGCCAGGTACTTGGGCCTTCATCTGCTGGCTTCGAGGGTACACATTGGTAGGAAACTGGAGTTGGAATTGGGGCCAGCACTGTAACCCAGACACTCTGATGTGGAATGCAGGCATCTCATGCTGCATCTTAACAGCTGTGCCAGATGCCCACTTTGCTTCTTATTTCTTAATAGAACCCTAAACAAATTCTCTATTATCCTTATCTACCTAGAAGCACCTATAAGACTGTTGTTAATAGCTTGATTAAGCTTTCCTACCTATATGTATTTAATTATTTTATTATTCTATTTAAATGACCAGCAGTCATTATTTATATAATTTATCATTTGCTCTATGAATCTTTTCTGTAATACCCCAGATATATGTCCATCTTTTGAAACAAGCATTTCCCATAAGAGAAAATAGTAACTATTTTGTTGTTGGTCTTCCTCCCAGTTAGCTATAACTGATTTGGAGGAATACAGCTCCCAGAGAGCATGTCAGCCTCCTCCTCCTCCCATTGGTGGTCTCGGTCATGTCTGGCCCAGCCTTTATCCCAGACTCCCCCAAGCCGTACGGCCATTCCTCATCAGGTACGCGTTCCACACCACTGACCTGCCTGTCCCTGCCTCCTAGCCCTGCCACGTGCCAGAGTCTGCCTTCAGACATGGTACTGGAGCTCAGCACTCTTCTCCTGCTGCACTCAGCTCCTAAGATGGGGAGGCTGTTGCTTCTCGCGATGAGAAAGAGCCTTTCCTGAGGGGAGGAGTGTAATCTCCCTCCCACTGTGCACGTCCTGCCTGCTGAGCCAACAGTGTCTAGCATCTCCCGCAGAGCAGGAGCGATCGTCCTCCTCGCTGTCCCGGCGTAGCAGCTAAGTGGTTCTGAAGAGAGGCTGCAGCTAAGTTTTCCCTCCACATAATTAGGCAGTCATTTGGACTCGTTTTACATTTATCATGATTAAAATTCATCTTTTTGTTTGTAACCTTTTGCTGCTCTCTATTTCTGATTCTGTCATCTGTCTTATGTACAATCACTTCCAGCTTTTTGTGTTGAATACAGATTTGGAAAGTATGTCTTTTTTGTCAATACTATTGAACGAAATAACACCAAGCCTTTTTTTTTTTTTTTTTTTTTTTTTTTTTTTTTTTTTCAATTTGCTACAGTGGCTTGGTAAAAAATGTGCTGGGATCTGTAGGCCTTACTATATTATTATTAACACTGCTAGTTTACATGATTTCTAAATAACCTGTTTTTGGCTTTGAGAACTTCAATCACTTTAACTGTAGTGTACTTTACCTGCCTCAAAGAATTGATCAGATGATCAGATGTTGAAAGCTGTTTTGAAAATATTAAACATTATGTAAACCCAATATAGGAAGTTGTTATTTGATGATATCTTGAGAATCTCATTAGCTGTTGAATAGAGCAGGTCTTATGTGAAATTTAGTATTTGTTTTAAAATCGCTGATTTCCTGGGGCCGGCGCTGTGGCATAGTGGATAAAGCCACCGTCTGCAGTGCCAGCTTCCCATGTGGGCCCCAGTTTGAGTCCTGGCTGTTTCCACTTCCGATCTAGCTCTCTGCTATGGCCTGGGAAGGCAGTGGAGGATGGCCCAGATCCTTGGGCCCTGCACCCGAGTGGGAGACTTGGAGGAAGCTCCAGGCTGCTGGCTTTGGATCGAGCACAGCTCTGGCCATCGCAGCCATCTGGGGAGTGAACCAGTGGATGGAAGACCTCGCTTTCTTTCTCTGCCTCTGCCTCTCTGTAACTCTGCCTTTCAAATAAATAAATAAAATCTTAAAAAAAAAAAAACTATTGGTTACCCTAAGATTTGAATGTTTTAGTTAACAAAAAATGTATTCATAAGTAGTTTTCTTTCCAAAATTTGTAATTTGGTCTGTCATGGGGACAGAGGTAGGAAGGAGTATGCTCAGGGTTGTAATGCAATTCGTGTACTTGAAATACATCCGTTGTAATTGTATTTTGTCCTACACAGTCCTTTATTTTTTGCAATTTTTATTGTGAGCCTATGAAATTTTATTAGCTTCTTTGAGAAGAAAATCTGCATCAGCACTTCAATTGTGTTAGTTCTGCTTGACTTTTTAATTGAAAGGCAGTTTATTATAATTTTAGCATCAGTGTTATAGAAAGTCATGAAAATATTTAATGATCATGTAATCTGAACCCTCTCTGACAAACAGGAAATTATCTTGTCTGCCTGCCTTTGAGTAGATGACATTTACCATTGGCTGTCTCAGGCTCTCAACTGAAGACTCCAGTGTAAGTCAGAGTCAGACTTACTTACGATAGTCAGCTTCCACTTCCCGCCTGTCCCAGCACACTGGGGATGTATTAAATCCATCCTGACACAACTCCCTCTCCTGCACGCTGATTATGAAGGCCTTAATTTAACCAGTTCCTGGGCAGATGATTTTGACTCCTCGGTTTCTACAATAATGGGTGGTTTTCACATCCATCCAATGTAAAAAGAAAATCTCTTGGTCATCACGTTTGTAATAATACAAGAAGCAAACACTGTGGTTGAGACTACTGAATGAAAGCCCTTGATTTTTGATTACTGGCTTCCTCTGAAGTTCATTTATCCTACGTATAATATGCCCTATACATAACAGCCCATGTGCTTTAAAGGTAAAAGAGATTCTAATAAATAGGTGGGGATATTTATGTCAAGCTCCTGTGCCAGGCCTGGATGTAGGCATCAGCTCACCTGTGATAACCACTTTGCTGACCATGAGCTGACAAACCCACATGAAGTGGAATTGATTCATTAGTTTTCAATGGAATCTCCTTTTCATCACGTTAAACAAGGAAGATATACACATAATGAAAAATGTCAATAGTAGGAAAAGTGGCAACAGGTGTAGTGGAAAGTTTCCACTCTTCTGTGGTCTGAATTTCCCTCTTTAGAGGCAACCCTCATTGCCAGCTTTTCTGTATTTTCCCAGATAATTCAGAACATTTACAAACAGATAATGTCTGTGTCCTTTATTTTTAAATTTCACGCTTTATAGAAACTGACTTTTTTCAATATGTATCTTAGATAGTATAGTGTTACATAATTTTTAATTTTTTTTAATTTATTCATTTGACAGGCAGAGACAGAGAACTCCCATGTACTGATTCACTTTCCAGATGCCCACAACAGTGGGGTAGGGGCCAGAGCTGGGAGAAGAGAACTCAGTTCAGCCCTGCTCCCATACCATGGTAGGCAGGAACCCAAAAATTTGAACCATCACCTGCTGCCTCCTTGGGTGTGCATTAGCAGGAAGCTGGAGTTAGAATGCAGAGCCCAGGAACTCCAGTGTGAGACAAGTGTGTTTTAACCAGCAGAGGGGCTGGCACTGTGGGACAGTGGGTTAAAGCCACAGTCTGTAGTGCCACCATCCCCTTTGGGTGCTGGTTCAAATCCTGGCTGCTCCACTTGTGATCCAGCTCCCTGCTGGTGCACCTGGGAGGGCAGCAGAGGATGGCCCGAAGCCTTGGGCCCCTGAACCCATGTGGGAGACCCGGAAGAAGTTCCTGGCTCCTGGCTTTGGCCTGGCCCAGCCCCTGCCATTTTGGCCTTAGGGGAGTAGACCAGCAGATGGAAGATCTCTCTGTCTCTCCTCTCTCTCTGTAACTCTGCCTTCAAGTAAATACATACATCTTTTATATATGTATATGTGTGTATATCTACACTATTTTGTAATCAACCAACCCCCAATTGGTGAATATTTAGCTTTTTAAAAATCTTTTCATACTGTAAACAGTATTGCAATGAGTTTTCTCTTTATGCCATAATTGCTGGATCAAAGAGCAAGCGTGTTATTTATTTTAATAGCTATTTGCAAATTACTCACCGTAAGATTAACTATTTCCCAACAATGTTTAACCACAACAGAAATTTTCTTTCCAACTTTATTTTTTTATGCCCCCGTTTTAAGATTTATTTATTTATTTGAAAGGCAGAGTTACAGAGAGGCAGAGGCAGAGAAAGAGGGGCCTTCCAGGGCCGGCGCTGTGGCAGAGCAGGTAAAGCCACTGCCTGCAGTGCCGGCATCCCATATGGGCACTGGTTTGAGTCCCAGCTGCTCCGTTTCTGATCCAGCTCTCTGCTATGGCCTGGGAAAGCAGTAGAAGATGGCCCAAGTCCTTGGGCCCCTGCACCTGCGTGGGAGACCTGGAAGAAGCTCCTGGCTCCTAGCTTCGGATCAGCCCAGCTCCAGCCATTGTGGCCATCTGGGGAGTGAACCAGCAATGGAAGAACTCTCTCTCTCTCTCTCTCTCTCTCTCTATGCCTCTCCTTCTCACTCTGTGTAACTCTGATTTTCAAGTAAATAATAAATAAATCTTTAAAAAAAAAAAAAAAAA